CATTTCGTGTTCACCAACACGATTTTTAATCTATTGATTCGTGTTCACCAACACGATTTGCCCCTTTTTTTCGTGTTGCACAGCACGATTTTAAAAGCAATGTATTTCTACTGCCTGCAGCACGTCTTTTTCTCCGGTCGGGTCGTGGGAGACCGGAAGCTGTGTGGTTCATAAAAACATGTTCTTACTCAATATCAAGCCACAATTATTGCTTTTATTTTAAATCGTATCATTTCAGATTTTTGTTGCCGTCTGTGAGGAAAATAAATGGGGCTCAGAGCCTCAGAATACGGAAATCTGTATTTTTAAATATTTTTTTCCTTCTAATTCGTTATTCTTTTCAAAATAACACACTGTTATTTACTCACCAATAACACACAATTATCCTTGCTTTTATTTATTGGTTTAATTCCATAATCTCGGGCTTTTTTGGCGTCCGTCAGGAACTGAATTTCAAAATAAAAATAACCGGAAACAGAGGTAGGCATTTCGAGCAATTACCCAAGATCCTCAGCTATGGTTTTAAGCTCGCTTATTGGATGTTTTAGCCGCAATGCATGCTGGGATTTGGTGTTTATATGATATGAAATCCGGAAAACATTTTAAAATAATACTTAATTCCGAGCACTCTTGCTTTTCTCTTTGAAAGTCATCACATAACGGAATTGTAATACGCGGTTCGGCTTCATTACATATTACAGATCTGCCATAGTTCTTTATTTATAGAGCCCTGATGAGAAGACCTTTGGAAAAATTGAGAAAATGCCGCCGAAACTGAATACTTGACGTGGATCATAAATATATTCAACAATTAAACAACATCTTCAATTTCTCTTCCCACAATACGTCTCCTTGCAGTATCAACACTAATTCGGCTGACTTTTACATTTGATCTAATTCACAGATAGGTTATATTTACACCATAACGGTGCACAGCTGATATAAAAGGACTGTAGTTTTTAAAGATATTACTGATTTTCTTTGAATGTAAGAATGTAAATACTGAGTCTGAAATAGTATAGCAATATGCTGTAAAATTATATGAAAGCATGCATAAAACTACACATCTTCAGATGTTGTACGAAAACATAAGTGTCCTAATGTGACGTAATGTAGGCCTATAAGGGACATTTCGAGCATCATTGCGATTGTCAACATTTCTGAGTTTAGGATGGCCAAAGACACTACACTACCCATAATCCCCAGCTATTGTTTAGGACTACAGTCCCCGTAAGGTTACGCAGAGCGTCAAACAGCTGTGTGAAATGGAACGAAACCACGCCAGACTATCCAAAACTGGAATCGAACGCCCCCCCAGAACTACACATGCTGGCTATTGTGTTTCGCAAAATGTTCTATGGGACGTCTCTACTGAACGTTTTCGTTTTTCCCACAATTAGAAGTTGTCAGTATTAAACACATTGGTGTTATCAAATGTAAAACATATAATTAATAAATGGGTGAAAATCGCTTGTGTCCATAATGCGCAGCATTAATACCCACATGACAGCTCATTGTTACTTTGTAATTCTACTCCACTACAATTCAGAGGTTAACCTGGTATTTTTACTCCACTGCATTTATTTGAGTTACTTTGCAGATTCTGATTAATTATGTGAAATATAAACAACCCTTAAATCAGACTTTAGTTACACCCGAGTAAAATTCAGGTAAGGTGATTGTCAAGTGCCAACAATCAGGAGAGATATTTGATAGTTGGCGCTTGAGAAGACTAAACATGTATCTGCAATTGACATGAATGGAAACGAGTAATAAAGTATATTCATTACTCGTTATTCTCTACTAATAGTTAATTAAAGACTGTATAAGGGCTATTTTGCACATCCCTTTCAAGATTTTCAAAGGTTTATTGACATATCATATACACAACTACGGTGTAGTTATGCAATGAATGAAACACTTGGGTCACAGGTTCCTCAACAGCGCATTACAAGACATCTATCAATATGTGTGTACCTCCACCATTAAACTGTCATATTCTGCACATTTCTTATTCTATCTACATACATAAGTGTATAATTCATGTGTATAATATCAGTTAAAATAAGTGCTTCAACATAGTTAACATTGCAGGAAAGCAATATATTAGACGTTAAGTACTTTGTCAGGCTTAATATTTATCTGTAGATAGATACCCCCAAAGTTTTTTTCTTATTTAAAAGAAGACCTTAATCTGTTATTTAATGTTTAAATAAAAGTTAATTCGTTTTTCTGTTTTGCACCTGCTCCTATTAATATCTTTGTACATTCTGCACTAAACTGTTTTATTGTAGAGATCACTTAGAGTATCTTCTTGATATTTTATATTCTATATTTATACTTTCCCCCTATGAAAGTATGTACTCTTAATATTTTTTTAATCAAATAAAACACAATAATTCAATAACGTGCTTTAACCACAAGGTACACACAGCCATAATAACTTTGTATTATTAGTGTAGGACACTTATGTTTTCGTACAACATCTGAAGATGTGTAGTTTTATGCATGCTTTCATATAATTTTACAGCATATTGCTATACTATTTCAGACTCAGTATTTACATTCTTACATTCAAAGAAAATCAGTAATATCTTTAAAAACTACAGTCCTTTTATATCAGCTGTGCACCGTTATGGTGTAAATATAACCTATCTGTGAATTAGATCAAATGTAAAAGTCAGCCGAATTAGTGTTGATACTGCAAGGAGACGTATTGTGGGAAGAGAAATTGAAGATGTTGTTTAATTGTTGAATATATTTATGATCCACGTCAAGTATTCAGTTTCGGCGGCATTTTCTCAATTTTTCCAAAGGTCTTCTCATCAGGGCTCTATAAATAAAGAACTATGGCAGATCTGTAATATGTAATGAAGCCGAACCGCGTATTACAATTCCGTTATGTGATGACTTTCAAAGAGAAAAGCAAGAGCGCTCGGAATTAAGTATTATTTTAAAATGTTTTCCGGATTTCATATCATATAAACACCAAATCCCAGCATGCATTGCGGCTAAAACATCCAATAAGCGAGCTTAAAACCATAGCTGAGGATCTTGGGTAATTGCTCGAAATGCCTACCTCTGTTTCCGGTTATTTTTATTTTGAAATTCAGTTCCTGACGGACGCCAAAAAAGCCCGAGATTATGGAATTAAACCAATAAATAAAAGCAAGGATAATTGTGTGTTATTGGTGAGTAAATAACAGTGTGTTATTTTGAAAAGAATAGAAGGAAAACATTTTTTTAAAAATACAGATTTCAGTATCCTGAGGCTCTGAGCCCCATTTATTTTCCTCACAGACGGCAACAAAAGTCCGAAATTATACGATTTCAAATAAAAGCAGTGGCTTGATATTGAGAAAGAACATGTTTTTATGAACCACACAGCTTCCGGTCTTCCTCGACCCGACCAGAGAAAAAGACGTGCTGCAGGCAGTATAAATACATTGCTTTTAAAATCGTGCTGTGCAACACGAAAAAAAGGGGCAAATCGTAACGAATCAATAGATTAAAAATCGTGTTGGTGAAAACGAAATGCCGTGAGACTGGGTTGGATCATTAGTTTATAAGTTAAGCCACTTTAAATGATAAAAACGTCAGGGTCTTCATTGTGTCCTTCTCTCCTCTAACCCTTGTTAAGTGACACATTTACCAACAGCTACTGTAACAAGTTAAAGTACACAGAACAGTGTTCAGTGATCTGAAGTGCACATGTGCTCACTACATGTCTGGGCCGGGGTCAGGACTATGACAGTGATCCTGACAATGGAGGCGGTGTCCAGGAGGAGGACGGCTACATCTGTGCTCTGAGTGAGCCTCAAGACGCAGACGACACGTACGAGGAGAGCTACGAGGCGGCGCCCTCTGCAGACACACTGAAGCCCCCCCCACCTCCCAGAGTGCAGCACAGTCATAACACAGGTAACAGAAAGCATCCTGACAAGCACTGTACACAAAGAAAGGCATCAGACGTGAAAACATATCGAGCTAGCTTTGAGATGTTCTGCTTTTAAAGTCAAATTGGTTTCAAATTGTATTTACTTTAAGTAAAAATGTGTGATTAGTGAGTGGTTGAATGTGACAAAGTTAATTCTCAAGTATTGCTCTTACTGTATAGGTAGAATGTTTAGGTATCCTTTAGTTGAGTATTTCCATTATATTGTACACACTGTATACATCTCAGTCAAAATGTGTACTTGTTTTACTCCACTACGTTCATTTAAAACTTTACAGATTGTGATTACATCGACAGATGAAAAAAAAAAAGAATATATTAAACTACCCAGCAGTATATACGCAATTAAAATAAACGCACTAATGCAGAAATATAATACAATAGTAAAGGTTATTTTTTAAATGGGACAGTTTAATGTTTTGGTACCTTGATATATGAAAACGTTTTACTCGAGTATGATTTTGCACTTTGAACACTATTGCTAAAAATAAAGAGTATTTCTTCCATGACTGCATGCGAGCAGATGCTGTTCCAGAGCCGATCCCTGCTGAAAGGAAGTCAAAGGCTGCATACCCTCGGACCACAAGCAACAGCCTTATTCCTCAAAGACCTGTCAATGCGCTCCGTAAGTGTACATTTCAAAACTCCACGATCACCGGACATATCGATGATGATGCTCCAAGCATTCTGTCAAAATATGTCTCCCTTTTCTGAACCCCAGCCCCCCAACCCAATCTACCTGTGGACAGGAGCAAGAAGCCCTCCCAGATCGACGTTGCAAAATCAAGTATGTACTGATTACTGTGTAAAAGTTAAACAGCAACATGTGGTCATCGTGTGACAATACTACACTTTTCTGTTTTGCACTATCACTCATGTCCACTAGATGGCAGTGCTGTCAAGGCTCCCGGCTCATTCACAGGCAGGATCCAAAAACCCAGAATCCCCAGAGCTACAGATGTGTGCAACAGGTAGTTTTCAGATTCATTCATTTCAATCATCAGGACACAAAGTATAATTGAACTAATAGTGAATGACTTTAAACAGCCTAATCCGAATTTGGGCTTTATTCTGATTGATGTCAGTTGCCTTGTTTTATAGGCGTTACGTGTTAATGGCACACATATTTGTATACATGTCTAATAATCTTTTTAATACATTGATCTTGTGTTGTTAAACATAATTGACAAAAAACGGCTACATCAAATTATCCACAGGGGCATACATGAGGGGTCCCTTGAATAAATGGTATTGTAAGGGGTCTGCCAAACAACTAAAAGTGTATGCTCTGGGTAATGAGCTATTGTGGTTTTCTCATTGATGTTCCATTTAACCTCTCCCCCCCAGAATAAGTAAACGCTATCAAGTTCCTTCAGCGCCCACACAGCCTGCTCCGGTTAAATCAATTCAAGAACCAACACAGGTGAGAATCAAAGTGGAATCACACATGAGCCATGTTCTACTGTCCAAGCTTTAGAACACCACAGTACTTTGGGAACTCGACCAGCAGATGGCGCTGTTGTAAAAAGGAACACAACGGTGCAACCCTTATGTCTGCTGAACTCTACAGACTTGCATTTAATTCAAAAGCTTGGTTACATGGAAATATCTGTTACATTTGTGCTTCAACAACAATAATGTCCAACACATGTTTGTAACTGCAAAAAGAGAAAGAAGAGGAAATGATTTATAAAGCCGACTGTCTTTGTATGGTGCATTGAGGGTTTGGATCCCAGTTGGTATGGAGGGAAGGTGACCAGACGTGAAGCTGAAGCTGCTCTCAGAGAGATGAACAAGGTCAGGGGCTGCCTCTCACATATCTCATCCTCCTCTTTCTTGAAAACACACACACGCACACACACACACACACACACACACACACACACACACAAAATCATGTTATACTGACTGAAAGTATACGCCGAGTGCATTTGTCCACATTTGTGTCATTAGGACGGAGCGTTTGTGGTGAGGGACAGCTCACAGGGCGCACTTGAGCAGCCTTACACCCTGATGCTGCTGAAACAAGGCAAGGTTTACAACATTATGATCCGTAACCAAGGCAACTCCTACTCCCTGGGCACCGGCATCAAAACCACCAAGGTAAACTGAGAGTGATGTTAGAATGAGAGGGAAAATGCCAGACCGAAAAGTGTCCCCATCTTGTGGCACGCCTCGGGCTGTGTTTGATGCTGACTCGTGCTGCGTCATCAGGTCCCTGTCATCTTTTCTTGTGTGCCGCTCTGCTGCAGAGTTTCCCCGGGGTGAAGGAGATGATTACCCATCACACACACACCCCTCTGCTGCTCATTGATGCCACAGACCGGAGCTCTGAAGCACAGAACCAGTGCCGTCTGCTGCACCCTGCGGGACTCGGACCACCACCAACCTAATGGGGCTGTTTACCTTGGTTTCTGTATGCTAATGTGTGCACATCAATCAACAACCCAAAACAAATGTCACCATTTTCACAATCACCAAGGTCAATGTTATGCAACTCCTCTTTTGCATTTAGACGAAGCAGAACGGGGAAAAAGGGAATATTTCAACATGGCTGGTGGTTTGTATATTTCATTAAACCATGTTTTCCCAGACACACAGCATTACCTCTGTTCTTCATGTTTCAAGTTGTCATGCTGGGGGCTGCTGCTTCAGCGCCTCGTGGATTCCCAGAGGAAGCTTCTTGTCAGGGTGGCCAACACACACGATCAGATCACATTGCCTCAGCTGGGTCTGCACTGCAGGAGGAAAACAAATACCTCCTTTTAGAAGAAGAGCCTCGGGTCAACACAGTTCTTAGATGGTCCAAAAGTCACGTTTCAACATATATAGAAAGTTCTACACCAAGGATGGAAGAACATAAAAAGGGAGATACCTGAGAGATAAAATAGCATACATTGCTCTCTATTTTGTCATCGTATTATTAGTCAGTTCTGGTATTCACTGTACCGACACAAAGATACATTACTCATCAGGAGTGACTAGCAGTCAACTTGAAATTGCAATTCAATTGCTTGACGTATCGCATCTTTTCAGCATGCCAATCGTTACCAGGTTTTGATTATGTTTCGCAATCACACTGAACTCAAAGTGTGCATACTAAATGAGGTAGATATCTGAGTGATACGCAGAATTATTGTACGATTGACAATGAAAATAGAGGAGCAACTCACAGCTGGAACAATCAAAGCTATTCCTGGGTGAAACAGCACAGACAAACTAAATGTCATCGTTGCTCAAAATCTTTCTGTTTTTTAGGCGAAGTAGGTTTTCTGTTTTAAAACGGGCACCAGCTCCCTGAAGTAACAGGTTATCTGTTGTTTAGTACACACTGGTGTATTCAGGTCTTGCTTTAAAGCCAGAACAATGTTTTTATTCAAAGAAACAACCTCTGACACTTGTTTGCAGGCATTAAAAGTATAAAGTAAGAATATATGTCCCTAACACAGTAAGCAGAGAACTTTGACTGCCTTTACTCTTTGCAAAAAAGATAAACTCAAACATCAAATAGCATAATAGACAACCATGTGTGTGAATTCCATCCGTTACTCATATCTACCCATCAGCAGAGCGATCTGACAGACGTCATGTAACATTGTGTAACTTTGCACCACTGACATTCACAAGGCAAATGTGAGCAGCAGTTGGAGTACAATATAATCTAATTCTTGCGATCACATTTCAGATCTAGGATAAGTTACATGAAGCGATTTGCATATTTGCAAATCGATCATCAAGGTCATCATACTTGCCGTCAGCAAGCCTCAATTATTATTTTGTGTAAAAGGAGCAGACTGAGGGAAAACTGTCAGACTTACATGCCATTTGATCTACGCAGTAAGATAAGGAGTCCAGCCTTTTCATTATGTTTACCAGATCGATGCAGGCAGTTGAGGGAGCTTGCTCTGGGTTTGTGTCTGCGTTATCCATCTGAAAAACAGTTGTATAACAACGAAACAAGATTTGTCAGTATGGTATTCATTTCATGTGTATGGTATTAATACATACCATACACAAGATCTTACACATTTGAAATGTAATTCTTATTGCTGGTGTTACATCGAAACTAAAATATAAGCTATAATGAAAGCAATACAATACAAAAGTAGGTGCCAGGCATGTCGGTCTGTCTATTAAAAAAAACACCGGAGAACTTATTTTCTTTTTCTTTTTTTATTGTTCAACTCAGGAGAAACAGGACACTCCATCACCACCGAAACATGAATTGTGCAGGACATGCAACAATACAAACACACTCAAAGAGCTCAGTATGAGCATTAGTGAATATGAAATCCTGTTTTAAAGACAAAAAGGCAGAACCATCGGTCCAAATACACATTCTCCATAGCAACGTATAAAAACGACTTTTACAAGCGTTCCACTTACTCAGTGTAATGTCAACTAAAAACTCTGATATAACATCTGAGTAGGTGCTATGGTGGTGGGCTCAGGTCAAATGCTACTTTCTGACTCGGGCTCTTGTCGGTCTCCACAGATAATAGCTCTGCATTTATTATATGCTTCTTCCAGTTTCTGCATAGAAGTCCCCAGCTCGGGACTGGTCCGCAGTGCCACCATGTCATAACCCATCCAGGTCAACTGCACTGCAGGTGCACAGAAACAGTACATGTATGTTAGCTAACACAGCTCCACAACAAACGATCAATTACTGTGTCTGTAAGCGGATGAATTGGAAATGGGGGACCCTGATGTAAACAAGACGAAAGTCTTTCTCTGGTCTGCATCCCCTTAACAATTGTATGTTTTGAGCTGTACTGTACTGTACCCAATACACAAGCTGTTAATACACTTTTCAATCAATCAATTAATAAAGTAACTTACCGGATATATCTTCCACGGCTTCTATAACTCTCTCCAAATCCTTGTTCACCTGCAAGGCGTCGTTGATGCTTTCTTGTGGAAGCTCGGGCAGCGCAGATGAATCGGCCATCTAAATAATAAACCGGCATACGAACTGTATCAGCTGTCGGTTTGTTAAACAGTAACAATACACTACCTCCGCAAATAAAACGGATTTTAGCGAACGCCAGCAAGCTGTTGCTGACGCTAGCTTGTCCCGGCTGAAAAGCCTAATTTTAGTTAATGTTAGCTAATGTTTGCTAATCGTAGCTAATGTTTGTTTATGGTAGCTAATATGTTTAGAGCTAGCTATCTCACGAACCAGTTAGTAAGGTCAAGTTAACATCGTAGGTTCTTAAGTAAGTTAGGTTTGACATATTTCCAATTGTCAACAGCAACACAAACACTTTCAAATATCAGCTTAAGTTTTATTCTGTTAGTGTATGGGTTGAAGATGTACTAACTAGTTTATAAATGCAAAAACTTACGATTGAGTGCTGTTCTTCGGCAAGTTGGTTTGAACTCAAAACAAAGGTCTCGTGCTAACCCAAAAAAACCGACGCAGTGCGCCTTTTCATTTGAAAACATGATGACGTAACTTCCTACGTTATCCGGAATCGTAGGATATATATATATAGTTGTATATGTTGTATATGTTTATTGCTAATGTTAAGGTTCCCCTTTCATATAATTATTTTATATACTTTTTTACATGTTTGCATTTGTAGACTAAACTGTGTAAGAATGGATATGACCTGCTTAATGTCTGCTTGCTCCCAATTTAATAGGGAGACGAGAAGAAATATAAAACGCAACAGCATGATATAATGATAACATGCCATTTAACACCAACACTGTGGCCAATTATAAAAAGTGATCATTTAATTTGTGAAATTCTAGATTACAAAAGGATATGGGCAATGTCCCCTAGAATTTCGTATTCATTTAAATGATATCAAAATACTATGTATTCAAAATTAAACTATATATCGCTACCGATATTCTAACACTGTTAGTTACTAGTAATAGTTGATGCTTTCATGGTCTACTTATCATCATTTATGATTATAATTCTACATCTTAACCTGGGAGCAAGAGGCTATTGCTTTTATGCTATATCACCATTTTCGAGTGTGGTCAATCTTTACAGTTAATACAAATACTTTATAATATATAATTAAATACTATCTATATAGAACAAGAACATAGTCACAAAATTGTCTTCGGGATGGTAGTTTATCTTCATAATAACTACTCTGTTCAGTGTTTACTCAAGAAATGCTTATTAAAATGTAGAATTTAAATAGGGCAAACTTTGAAGTCAATTTACATTTTCATCATTATCATCAAAAAGTTACAGAGGAGTGAACTTAATCAATGTTGTAGCAGCAGCTTGAGTGGAAAAATATTTAATTGAGGTAATAAAAAAAACCTGGAGACCAACAAGCTGACAGAATGAAAAAAAAAGTGGGAGGAAACAGGATAAAGGTCTCACCTGAGAAAAGAACCAATCACATGAGGCAGGGAAACAGATAAAGCAGGTAAGGCAGGTGAGGAGGGGACAACAGACAAGAAGAGAGTGGAGAAGAGCCTACGACTTTGAAGTGTAGACACCATCATTTGGATCAACTCACATTCAAATACCTGCCAACGTCTAAAGAAGAAAAGGACTTCGGGACTTCTGACAATACCGCTCCACAAAGAACATTGGCACAGAAAGGAGAAAGGCAAAAGGAGATTTAAAGAGGTGAGAATACATTTCATATGTCTTCATTTGAGACTCAGGGCCAGTCTCCACCTCGGTGTGGCCCGCAGTTCCCCAGCCTGGGTCAGGAGCCCCCTGAGATCAGCATGTACAGTGACTGTTACTACCCCCCTCCCTCACTGCCGAGTCCTCAGCGCACTGCTCCGACTTCCTACGACCTGAGCGACTACACCTCCACCCCAAACCCTTACCTCTGGTTCAACGGCACCGGGATCAACACACCGCCGTACTTGGCTACAACGGGCCCACCTGGTAACCCAGGCCCCCCCTTTGTCCCCCAGCACTACGGCATGCAGAGGCCCTACCTGGGTCCTGCTGGAGCTGGGGGCCCAGGAGGGGAGCTGAGCTGGTTCTCTCTCCCCTCACAAGAAGACCTGATGAAGCTGGTCAGACCTCCCTACTCGTACTCCGCTCTCATCGCCATGGCTATCCACGGAGCACCTGACAGGAGACTGACATTGAGCCAGATTTATCAGTACGTGGCTGACAATTTCCCCTTCTACAATAAAAGTAAAGCTGGATGGCAGAATTCAATCCGACACAATCTGTCACTCAACGACTGCTTCAAAAAAGTACCAAGAGATGAGGATGATCCAGGTAATATTTGCTTTTTGATTTCCTTATGGCTCTATTTTAAAATGTCACCCCAACAAGGGCATATGTTGTATGGACCATCGTGTTTTATTGGTGTGTTGTATAAAGCCTTTTTTCAAATTCAAATTGAACCTCACTAATTCTGCATTCTTGCATCACAGGCAAGGGCAACTACTGGACACTCGACCCAAACTGTGAGAAGATGTTCGACAATGGAAACTTCCGCCGCAAAAGGAAGAGGAAGTCTGATTCCCTCTCCGGTGGAGATGGCTCAGGGGCTCCGGAGTCAGGAGACAGCGAAAGGGGAAGCCCCAAACACTCAACTGCCCTCAACATGTCTCCCACGGCAGACCGGATCCCCTCCCCTTCATCGTCGGGCCCCGCTCCTTGCCTCAGCAGCTTCTTATCCGAGATGTCTGGAGTGACAGTAGCTAATGAGGTGGGGGGTGATGGGTTAAGTCGGCCACTGCAGATCAACCTAGATGGGCCTCATAGACCTGGAACCTTTATTAACTATTCGCCCAACTCAGGAGGACAAGAGTGGGGACCCCAAGTATCAGCTCCCACTGTGCTCTCCTCTTCACCCACCCACTCTTCCCTAGGCTACACCAGCCCCATCCTCAGCCAGTACAATGCGTCCAGTGGGCATTTCTACCCAACACTTGGCTCGACAGGAATCATCTATCATCGTGAGGGCACAGAAGTTTAATAAGACATTAAAGAGGGGTTGGGGGGGGGGGAGAGAATGTTTGGTTTCTGGTAAAGACTTTCCACAGGAAGTGTTACCTGTCTGGTCACTTCAGTTTGTTCGGTTGTGAAAAACACAGAGTTTGCGCTGACTGAGGCAGTTGAAGATCACTATAGCGTGTGACATCAGAGTAAAAAGGCTTTGATTCCCACAGAAACAGCTGAGTCAGTAGCAATGGACTAGAAGTGTCCCTCCCTTAAAACCGCAGTCAGCCTCTCTATCAGATCCTCAGTCAGCTTTTATTCGAAGTAAAGCAGGTCTCTATCAGATCTGACTCATTACTAACAGATCCTGGATCCTATCTGCTGACATCAGGCCATTCCACACTGCTATCTGAGATTCTTTGATGGTATCACCCATACAGCGCTCAGGCAGCACATTTAGAGTAGTAGTTGAATTACACCATTGTCTACTAAGTCTGTGTAGGAATGAACTAAAGGTAGAATTTCTTTCATGTTTTTTTCGTAGGCCTAGTAGTAAAGCTTAACATCTGATGACGTTAGAGTCCTGGAGTCTGAACATGTAATTTTATCTTGTAAATATGTCAATGTGTTATGTAATGTTATGCATTTGTATTGTTGGTTTGTTGGTTATTGTAAACAAAATATCATTCCTAATGTATGGTATGCTATCTATGTTGTGTTTTTGATATGAATAAAAGGAATACACTCTACACTTTATTTCTAATTTTTTGTTCATGAAGGATGATATTTTATTCAAATGAAAGAGCCATAAGATTTCTCTCAAACATCCAACCCATTCAAAAAGAAAGTTAGGACAGAAAGTGAGCGTTCACTGACAGAAAACTGTCAAAAAAGCGATGACCAGTAGAGTGGAACCTGCATGTCGGTGAAACCCGATCTTTGTGTGATGGATTGTTAACTGATTCTACTAAACAAACGGTGAAAATCCACATTCCCATGCTGTCCCTCTTTGCTACACCAAACACTGAAAAGTCAGTCACACCATCTACACAGATACTGCTGACTGGATGCAAGCAGCTCTATCTGTGGAGAGGGACCAACTGTAAAACGCTGTAAAGATGCTGAGGCGTGAATTAACGGCTAAATAAACACTGTCACTCAACATAACAATTGCAGTCTGTGTATTAAAACTACGATCATCACATATAGTTGAGAGTCTTATGAAAGTAAATCAAGAACCTCTTGTGTGTATCAAGTCAAAGTTAGGAGATGTATTCACAAAGAAAGAGGTTAGTGCTGTACAAAGACATTCAGGTTAGTTTCTCCAGTGACTCATATTCATGGAAAGGTACTCAAAATATACATACAGCAATGTGTGGTATACATAACACATGTAGTAATATAAAGAATAATGTATTTATCACAGGAGAGTAGTGTGACAGTTTGGAAGGAATACAAAGAGAAAATAAAGTAAAATAGAATACAGTCTTAAACATCAGAAGTCAAAGTAAAACTCTGCAATTTCAGGACAAAATAAAATAGAATACAAATATTTATATTAACATAAGAAGTTAAGCAAAGCAGTGCAAATGTGCTTAAATATTCCACACCAATTAACATGTACAATTGTGTAAATTGCAACATATAGTGGTGTATAAGTATTAATACATACATTAATGATGAAAAACAGATTGCTCTTAATGTAGAGTACAAAACAGTAATAATAAACGTACACTTGCTAATATGTTAATATCTGTTATATGTCTGATACAACAAACTGTAATTTAAACACTAATATAATAGGATATTATACATTGTACATTTCAAACACATTATACTCTATGCGTCTGTGGTTCCCTCTGCAAAATGTTAATTTTGGCTTTACATAATCATTACATACAATATTATTAGTGTTATAGTTGATAAACTGTGACAAATAGAATCATTTTACCAGTTGTATTCCTGTTCTCTAGTTGTCCTGCACCCTTGTTATTAAAATAAATATAAACCCTTTGATCGGTGTGAGCCTTAGGCCTTTATTTACCCCGAAACACAGGCAGCATGACAGTCATTTATACTAAACACAGAAAGAAAGACACCCACACTTCTAACCGAGAACCAGTGGAATTTAACATCCTGGCGCAATTGGCAAAGTGTGTAAGTGGTTGGAGGTTAGACGGTCAACCTGTCAACATTTGCATAACTGATTTTAAAGGGCTGAGGTTCCATTTGGATGGATCATAAAGTTCAGTTTATTAGCTGTGTCAAGACTTTAAGGCATATCTGATTTAAAACGTGTGAAATATCCTGCCTCACACTAAGCCATAGACCTCATTCGGAGAAACATGGCTGTGCCAAATTCATATGCAAATAGATGATCTCTTCCTGCAGATTGGTAGCTTACAGAGGGGATCATGAGCTTTCCGGGTGTAACTAAAAGTGCAGTAAATATTAGTATATCACTGTCCCAACATGCCACACTTGTATCCCAAAATGTCTTAGCACATGGATAGCTGGTGCAGACAATTAGCTTGTTCTTTAGCTTGTTCAGACT